GTTTGTGGTTGTAATGTGACAAAATATGGAAAAGTTCAAGGGGTATGAATACTTTTGCAAACCACTGTAAATATCTGGTCTGAATCCTAATTTGATGTCATTTTATTGAGGAATTTTTGATGTCCTTATAAAGAGGAAACCTCAAATTATATTTGAATATTGAGATTTCCCAGCTAAAAAGAAACAAAGCTTTGCTAACTCACAGGGAAAATCTCAAAATTTTAAGGCGTTTTTCCTCAAAAATCAGGTTTTTTTTTTTTGTTGTTGCTACTGCTCAAAAAATGCTTCAGAATTTTGTTTTATGATTACATTTCAGGCAGTTCATTCAAATGATATATTAATAAGGCTTTTATTCATTAGATTTTGACAAAATGCAATTTTTGTTAACATTTTAGTCAAAACACTATATTTGCCTACTTCTCCATATACCTCTTTTGGACTTAATCCTCTTTTCGATGTGATGGGTCACATCAACAATGTGACACACTATGATGTTTATAAAAAAAACTCTGCATAGAGCACATTTATTAGCCGGAGGAGTAAGTGAGTTTAGGGGCGCGTGTATCTGAAGCCATGAGTGTTGTATGCACTTGTGTGAATATCTGATGAATGAGCCCGAAGAATCGAGTCCCCAAAACTCGCACAGCCATAGTTCAGAATATTGATGGTAACTGTTCATTCTGTGCAGCCCTCAGCTTGCTCCAGGAACCAGATCACATACGTGATACGTATACGGGGGGGGGGGGGCAGACCCTCAGCCGATCTATACATCCAGGAAGAATTTGGTCTACAGCTCTCAAGGCCAAGTAAGGGAGAGCCAAATTCTGTAATCAGTTGTTTTGGGAACAGAAGAGAATGTTCTGGGCCAGGCAGACAATAACAATTTCCCATCTGCTTTAATGTCCACTGGTCCCTCTCAATGTGGCGAATCCAATCAAACAAATAGTGTGGACAAATTCTGCCGAGCTATCAGCTTTCTCCAAGATCAATTCCATCTGGCCAGCAAAGTCCAGGGACTATGTATTAAATCCGTTTTGTTTAAATATTGGGTTTGTTTGTCTTTTATACATTTCTACAAATTTTTAACACCATAGAACATACTGTACACTACAGTACAACAGAGTACAGTTATGCAGTATATACACACATTTCCTTTTAATTCTCTACAAAACAGCAACAGAAATAGTTTATTTCCTTTTGATAAATGTTATATAAGGATTCCAAAAGACTATGATCTATCACAGGGGTGCCCAACCAGTCGCTAGCGGGAGACTGGTCGCCCGCCAGCCAGTTCCCAGGTGCCTGCGAAGCGCAACCTTGCTGCGGAGCCTCTAGTGCCGGCTCTGAGCATCGGATCCCGGTGTGGGAGAAAGTTGATTGGCGTCCCTGTGATGTTCCCCCATGGAGATATAAGCAAAAAACCTCCAAAATTATTCACCGTCGGACCTTGAATGGAGTCTCTGTAACATTCCTCTGCGGAGCAATAAGCAAATTACGCACGACTTAGTGCATTTTACACGCATATTCGGGAGGAAATTTCAACCTTTTTTTGCTTCTCCCACGGGCTCTGAGCATCGTATCCGGGAAAGTGAAATGACTTTGGAAAGCTACAGTCCTCTTCTATAAACTGGAGGTGGTTGCAAGTTCCTGGGACATTCCCCCGCAAAGCTATTAACCAACGACCAGCCGAAAAAGGCGCTTTGGCGAGTGATATAGTACTCAATTTACTCTGGAGCCTCTAGCTMCGGCTCTGTGCATCGGATCCAGGCGTCACATGGCTCCTTTTAAAGCTCTGGATCTCTGCTACAACTCTCTGGTTGCAAGTCCCTGGGACGTTCCCCCACAGAGATATAAGCGATCAAAAGTCGTCGGGCGAGCTCCAGTGGGTGAAACGGCTGATTTCCAGCACAGGCCTGCTGGTGCTGATGCAGGGGAATAAAAGGAAGAGATCCAGTGAGGTGGAACCGCAGTCATGCGTCCAGCACCCGCTCTCCCACCTGGATTTAACCAGAAACACCTGGCGGGCGATATTGAAACCGGTCCTTGAAGCTCAGCACCGGGTTTTATTRCCGCCTGCCTGCTAAAAAGCCCCCGGGCAATATTTCTGCAATAATGCATAAAATTCTGAAACCCACCTGATGAATCTGTTCCAGGAAATAAAAGAAAAAGATTTGGTCAGGTAAAACCGGTCCTGGAAGCTCAGCACCGGGTTTTATAGCTGCCTGCCAGAGTTTTATATTGTGTGCTTTGACTTTGAAAAAAAAGGGCGGTACTCTTGTGGTATCCATGTTGACCCTGATAGTTTTTTTTGTTTTGTTTTCCCTCCACTGTATGGAGAGAAGATAGGAGAGTTCTTTGAATAAATGGAGACGAGTTCCCCTGGTCCAGAGTTATTTGACTCTGTGGTTCTCTCTCTGGAAAGGGTTTCCAGCCCTCATAGSTCACACGTTACAGTGAGTACTAATTGAAGGAGATTAAAAAATGGTACTTTTTGTTCAAGCATCACTTTTCTGTTTCTCTGTCAGGAGTTAGGTAAGGATTTTATCTTTTCTTTTTTTTGTAGGTAAATATATGTTTAAGTAGATAGTTTTGTTTGACAATACTTTAAATTAAATAAAACTAGCAACACATTACGTTCTGTTTTATTTACTTTAAAGAAGTGAGGAGTAGGGAGACAAAATTATGTTTTTTGATACAGAGACTGGACGAGTAGCTCTCGGCAAACTGCCGACTTCAAAAGTAGCTCTTGGTTCAAAAAAGGTTGGGCGCCCCTGATCTATCAACATCATTTAACTTGAGTGTTTTCTTTAACTGCAAACTACACACATTTAGTTTTATTGTAATTAATAAATAACCCAATTGTTTTCTGATCAAAATCTACTCTACTGCTGTTTTTACATCACTTTTATTTCTCCTAAATAAGTTGGCACCATCTGTAAATATGTTTTAACATATAAGTTCCAAAATGTTTTTACTGTAAATACATTTTAAATCATTTAAGTCCTAATATTGAACCTTGGGGAACACCACCGATTATTCTCCTTTGCTGTGATGCAAACTTAATCTATGGAAATAAAGGAGTAGCACAGGATTTATGCTTGAGCCAGTGCCTAAGTGGCCGCATACAGAAAGTCTTTGTTTAGCTCTCTGCCTAGCCCCTCTAAAACTGTGGCATGGACATTAAAAAGCAGAACATCGGCAGTGGCTGAGAATATTAGAAATGCAGTGAGTCTAGAAAACAATCCCACAACATAATTTGAGGAGCCAAATCATGTAACATGTTAACAGTGTGGACAACAGGGCAGCTTCTCAACAAACTGTGCTACAGCTAAGCTAACTAGCATTGCATCACTACTGCTGGGTGTCATGTTTGATTCAAGTGTCCTGAATGTGAGAATGGCTGCAGTTCAGAATACAGTGGAGAAAATAGAGTCCCAGATGACTGAAGCTGAAACCCAGATATGAAACTAGAAGACTGAGCTCAAAGCAGAAACACAACAACCAGAACTGATTCAAACTATGGAGCAGCTGCAGGGAACAGTAGAAAGACAGCAGTGATGGTGTTTCATGACAGGACAAATAAAACAGCATCTTGAAATATTCAAGAAGCAAATTCAATGATTGGGGGGGTGGGGGGGGGGTTATACTACACCAATCTAGATAAGGAATCTATCAGACTACAAAGAGACTGGGTCAGTAAAATGCTTTTTAGTGCTTCTTTGTCTAAGAAACAGGAGGAGGCTATTCTTACTCATAAAAGCCTTTGTGACAGGGATGATGAGTTTTATGATGCTGTTCAAATAACAGCTAAGTGCCAAAATAAGACTTCAGAGGTCTTGTCTGATATTTTCAATGCAATGGAAGAAAATTGTATTTTATATGTGATATCTCAGAAGCTGTAGTGGAGAAAAGACATTTTCTTATTATCATGATTTATCCAGTTTTTTATTTATTTTATTTTATTTTGTTTTTTKTTGTTGTTGTTAAATGAGGAAGTCAGGTTTAGTGGATGTGTTTATTTTTTAACCAGGGTTTTAAGCAGCACTTCACAGAAACAGAGAAGAGATTTTTGTTTGTTGTTTTGGCCTTGGTTCATCCTGCAGTTGTTTCATAGTGTATTGATTTCTGCACACTTTGTAAATAAATTACACTTCATCTGAGAGACACGTTCTCCTGGGTGAGATTTGAGGACAGAAAAGACTGCTGTTTGTTAAATGTTGAGTCCAGAACTCTGAGACAGGATGGAACGGCTAATTCTAAACAGCCATAAATATATAAAACTATCACACAGTCTTACAAAAAAGCTATTATTCCTGTTAATTCTACCTACTGATTCTTCATGACGTTACTGCAGACAAGGAAAATCTCTAATTTTAGGGAACCAGCATTTAGCTGGTTTCTTTGAACTGACCGTTACAAAAAACCAACCTTGTACTCAAGAGTCTGCTTCAGCATTTCCTCTTCCTCACGAGTGAAGTTCAGCAGCACAGAAACGGCTCGGATCAGTTGGTAAGCCTGGCAGAGTGAAACACACATTTTTTGGAAATGTTATAGCCTAACCATGACCATTGGACACGGACACACACACACACACACACACACACACACACACACACACACACACACACACACACACACACACACCCTTGTATTTGCATCAAATTGAGGACATTGTATTGACTTCCATTCATTATTATAAAACTGTATTTATGCCTAACCCACCGGCGCCAGAATGGGAGGGCCAGGGGGCCATTGCCCGCCCCCCCCCCCACACTTTATGGCCCTGCACATCAACTGGTCCCATGGACATTTACAGGCTGCACCCAACGCTGACAAGTTATGACAGATGTATCTCTGTCTACATACAGACAAAGGCACAGACAAAACTGACAGCATTAAGATCAGGACTAAATCTGTTTATAAATCACCAGATCCACATGGCTCCATTTTGTTGCGCAACGCTCAACTGATGATGCGCGCATGCATCGCAAGCTGGAGGCTGGAGGCTATCTACTTGACATTTCTGTTAGTGAAGTATTCTCCAAAAGGCAGTACAGTTCATAACTTGTACAATGATTTGAAAATGAGAACAAGCTCTTGATAATAAGTTAAYAAAGTATTTAAATGGGGAGCAGTGCACACAACCCGTGTGTGGAGAACAGTCGGAGAGTTTACACAAATTCTCCAGCTCTGGCTGATCATGAGCCTGCCTGACGTGCAAAAAACATTTTGGCTCTGATCCCATCCGGGTCGACCAAATCAGCTYAAATATAAAATAAGAATTTTGTGCCACAATCTCTGGCCCAAACCTCTGAGTACAACCATCCGATGTCTGGATCCAAGCTGACTGGTTGTGGGGAGGGAGAGGGAGAGGGAGAGAGGGAGAGAGGGAGAGAGGGAGAGAGG